GTTGTTACAAAGGAGTGAGGTTAGTATATTTAAAATGGATAAGTGGAGTACAAAAATATTGTTACTATGTCCATGTTTAGTTGACCTGATACAAATGTTTATCATCCAAAAATAGCTGTGGGCACAGGTCTCTGCTACTGTTATTTTGTGGTTCAAAAGCTGAAAAGTTTGGGAACTACTGCACTTTGGTTCCCAAAGTAGGGCTTGGGACCCAATAATGGCTCATAAAGCACCTTGGATAATCTCCAGAAATCAATTTAAAAGGTAATAAAAAATAATTGTTACTGTAATATTTTTCTTGTAATTATTACAAAAACACAAAATAAGTAAAAATAAGTATTTATATTTGTGTACACGCTGTTTAGATTGTCAAAAAGCCTGTGTTTTTAGGGTTAGTAACGGAGTTCATGTCCTCAGACCAGTAATATTTGGGGTCACAAGTTTTTGCCATGGATATTTTGTGGGTCAGAAGACAAAAAGTTTGGGAACCACTGCCCTATATGATACATTTAACAGATTTATTTTAATCCAAACAATCAATGATTTATAAAGATAAATCAGGAAAATTAACAAGGCTGCCCAAACTTTCGCACCCCACTGCAGACAGATGGATGGATGATCACATGAATTTGGTTAGTTGGGTTTCTGAGGCAGCAGAAAAGCTGAATGGAAGGATGAACAAATGAACAGTTTGATGAAGGAGTGAAGCAAAAACAACGGCAATGGAGACACCTATGGTTTCCATGATAACCTGCTAGAGGTGAACGGTGGCTGGCGTGAGTTGATCCAAGTGGAAAGTTGCTTTTTGGGCCGCAGCTGATGACTTACAACTTTTTTAATCTTTCTAAATGAGGATTTGATAAACTGGTGACCAGGGTGGGGATCGACACCAAGCTCCCCACAACCCTGAACCGGAACAAGTGGGTAGAGATAATGGATGTATTCAGGCTTAAAATGATTGTTTTATGAGAGTAAAATTACATTCTGATCACAGACGACCCCTCATCAGCTTGTAATCAGGTAGGCCATTAAAGGGATTGTTACAGTCTTTGAAAATACGAGTTTATGAAGAGTTTGGGATCAATTAAAATCTTACTTAAAAGCAAATCCTTAAACTGTAAACTAATAAACTGTTAGCTTAATCTGGTCAGAAGTAAAACTATTTCTGCAACCAGTTCAAGAAGCCATCTTCAACAGGTAAGATATCAGCTGTTCATACCCTTTCCACAGAACCCCATTCCAAAAATATCTGAACTACCACTTTAAGGTGCTCAGAGTCATTGATATTTTTGATTAATCATCATTTCATTTATGTCCTTTGTCAAATTGCATCTCATAAAGCAAATATTTAGCTGATGTGCACATTCTGATTGTGAATTATTAAAGCAGACAGCTAATGTGCCGATTAATATTCAGTTTGATGTGACTCATCTGTGCGTCTGTTGGTGCGTTTTGTACAGTCACTCCTCAGGAAGCACAGCTGCAACCAAAAGCCTCAACTTTAAAATCTACCACGAACAGATGTATTCTGGAAAAAAAACACYTGAAACTTGCTCACGTCCGTGTTTCGACAGATTAGGAGGCAAATTCTGTCTCCCGTGTCAAACAATGAGGCCGCTCGGCTGAAAACCCTGCGACTAAAGTGCACGGAGGAAGAAAGACGTGGAGGAGCATGTGCAGCCGATGCTCCCCGTGTCAGTAAACACTCGATCTCATCTGCAGTCAGCAGAGACACTTGTCTGCCTGCACTGTCTGGCTGAGCCGCCTCACAAACACACACATACACACACACAGACACACTTTAAAACTGAAGGTGATGATCCATTGAGGCACGCAGCAACACACCGATATTCATCGCCTCACATCCGATTACAAGTTCTTTAATTACAAACTGCAGCTTGTTTTTTTTTTTTTTTTTTGAATTTGGCAGCGATCACGTTGGTTTTGAGACTCTCAAACAGCCGTTCAAGAAAACCCTCCAGCAGGAGAGGGGGCTGGGGGGTGGTTTCTCCCCTGCTTGCCTTCCCTCTGCAGTCGTAGCCAGCAGACTGCATCGCCCAGAGAGAGAAGAGTCAGCCCAGCCTGACTCATCTGCTCGCTGCTGCATTGACGAGGAAAAACTCCAGTCAGGTGATGTAAGAGCCACGAGAAAAGAAGGGTAGCGATGAGAGTTAGACGTTCTGACAGAACTAAGGAGAAGGAAGAGGAGGGTGGGCAAACACGACCTAACGGCGAGCAGACAGTCGTGATGCTTTAAAATGTGCACTGGCACGCCACACTGCGGCTCTGGTGTCCAAGCTGAGGATGAGCTGCTGATCCCCACCGCCGGCATCTTTTACACCCCTCTTTTTTTTTCCCCCTCCCTCAAACCTTTCACAGCTCTGCTCGCTTCAAATCCCCAACTCTGGAGAGAAGCACACACACACATACACACACACACACACAAAAAAAAGGCAAAGACAATGCCAATTCTGTGCTTCTCTGGGTGGTCTTAAAACTCATGCAGGTAGCAGAGGGCAGCACCAAAGTTGTTCAGTTCAAATGAGGTAAAAAAAAAAAAAGCTTTCTAAACAAGTTAAAGCTGTTTGGGGCTGGGAGGGGCATTGATTTCTGCTATCTGAACAAGTCTGTGTTGGGCTCCAGCAGACTGCTATACGCCATCTTTTCCTRCCAAAGCTTATCTGGAGCATCAGGAAACAACATCACTTCACTTTCCTTCAGATGAAATGACAAAGTCTTATCTCTCTCTAACTGCTGACATCATGCCTGGACCACTGGTTTAAGGAGGGGACGTTGAGCCTCATTGATGTTATTGATGTTGCGTGTTAAAGGCAAAAAGTTGGAAATAGGTTTTTTGCACCAGACTAGAACAGAAAAGCTGTTGTGTGCAGCACAGACACACGCTCTTATTAGGCAGCCTCAATTTAAATCACACGTTAACGTCAAGGCTCATGGGCCAAATGTGGCCCATTCGAGATTTACGTCCGGCCTGCCAAAATACCCCCCCACAAAAAACATTATATGTATACATTTTTTAAAACTTAATTTATAATGAAAATGTTTTCAAATCAGTGGTACACTTTGAATCTAGGATTAAATGCAAAAAAAATAAATTTAAAATGTGAAAGATACTTGTCCTGCCCCTGAGCRGTTGGCTTTAAGTAATTGTGACCTCCTGAGCAATTTAGTTGCTTTAAAGCTAACATGGACTATAAACTCCTATAATATATGTAAAATTATGCATGGGAATTCTGTCAGGAAGTAGGAACGTTTAGATTTAGCTACTCACCACAACTCAACAGTGAGTAAAACTTTTTTTAATAGTGTTTATGTATTATTTATTTCACATTTACTCAGTCGTACATAAAAACCAGACCCTTATCCTTCACTTTGCTTCGCACAGAGGGTCTGGACTTTCTGCTATTGAGAAGGGATTTCTTGCTTGGAGGCGTGGCCTGTGCTGAAGTGTGTGTGTGAGTCGTTGTGAAGGAGGCTAAGCTAAGAAGCTAACCGGAAATGGCGTGCGCTGTAAACAACCCTACTGAGAGGAGAAAAGTACCGAGCTGAACGAGACGACTAAATGAGAGCTGCTGCTTTGTCAGACAAATTTAATTTAATTTGGAAGCCTTATCAACACGGACTGGCTTCATTCTCTTCCTCCGCTGCCATTGCTAACCAACTAGCAGACACTGCGCAGAATATCCACGTCATTCAAAACTCCCCCTTCTGTTTGCTGATTGGCCCAGGTAAAATAAACTACAAGCAGACACCGCACGGAAAATCGACGTTCTGTTCTCTGATTGGCCCGGCTAAAAATCTGCCAGTGAAATCCATCTCAATGGGAGAAGTCCCAGACGGAGCAGTGAAGGGAAACTAGAATTGAGCTGAGCTGTGTAGGAAGGCAAGGGCCAGGCTATGTTGTACATGTAGTACTTTATAGTGTATATAAGAGAGCATGTTAAAACTCTGTTTCGATGCAGGAAATACCAAGTAGAGCTCAGCTATTGTTTGTTAGCAGTACTCAGTTACCAGTACTCAGTCTTGGCAATGCAGGTTTTGTTTAGTTGAAATTAAACATGAAATGTCAGGTAATTTCAACTATAATGCTCATGTGGCCATCAGTGAAAATGAGTTTGACCCTGGCTTAATTGAAAAAATCTGGCATAAAGAAATGATCTTTTATAAGAATATAGTATAAAAAAGAACAACACTACGATAATTATCATTTTACTCTGTTTTTGTTGATTATTAACCATAGATTTGTGTTTTTCTTTTTTTCCTTGCAATGACTTACGACCATCTAAGATATTAACTCAGGTTATGTTTTGGTGAACTCTTTCTACTTTATTCCTATTTTATGTTTTTACCCTTTGGGAAGTTTTGAAATGCTGAAGCTCTGCTGCTGTACATAGGGGCCAGAAGCACAAATAAAATGTGTATCTGATGAAATTCTGCAGGAGAAGCAAACATCACGAGCTGCGAGTTTTACAAGTTTTTACAGCTGCTTGTCCCACGGCCCATGAAATGATTTTACACAACAAATAAGGACATCTGCAAAACAAATTAAGCTCACGTGTGAGAGCAATTGGTGATTCGGGCAAATGCAAGAACAGCAGCATAAAAAAAGCATTTAGTACAAGGGTAACTGGTGGACAATGGAAGTGTTCTTTAACTTTGGTAATCAATGATTGAGTTTATTGGATGATTATATACTTTTAATAGCTTTAATTACAGGGTTTTCATCTCTTTCACCATTTTTTGTTAAATTAATCCAATTAGTATTTAATTGAAATAAACATAAATCTGGAGGCTTTTTCACATGCAGTGTGAAGTCCTCCTTAAAAAACCCAACCAGACCAGACAAACATGTGCTCATGCCCTATCACCATGGAGACCCAAGCCTAAGGCTCCCATAAGAAACACTTGACTGATGAARTAAAGGAGACGAAGGCAAGAATAAGGAGGGAGCAGCCCTTTAACCCTAATAAGACAGTAAAACTTATTGTTTGTGCTCAATGATCACTTGATAAGCACCAAAGCTCCAGAACGTCACAAATATCACCCAGGAGTCCACCGGGACCACCATCCCTTCTGATCGGTAACCCCAGCGGGCCGGGTTCAGACTGGACCGTCGGTGCACGCGTGTCCGAGTGAGGCTTCCTGTCTGCATGTGATGCACGCAGCTAAAAGAGTGCGATAATCTGTAAATCTGCTTTGCCTTCGGGCAGGTGGTGTGAAACTTGGCGAGCAGGAAGAGAAGACCGATCGACGGGCAGGCGGTGTGAATGACAGAGACATGTGTGTGTGTGTGTGTGT